CAACAGGCGTCCGCGGCCGCGTGACGGCCGCAGGCAGCGGCGCCCCCCTGGCCGCCACCCTGACGGTCAAGACTTCCGACGCCAACGGCGACCCAGTCCCCTTTTTCGCCAGCAGCGGCTTTGGCTTCTATGCGCGGCCCCTGGCCCCTGGCACGCACACCCTGGTCGCGGCCGCGGACGGCTACGCCATGGTAGAGGCGGAGGTGACGGTGCCGATTGGTGGCAGAGGCGTTGTCAAAAACTTCAAGCTGCGTGCGCAGGGCAGCAGCGGTGAAGATGGCGGCGGCAGCAGCGGCAGCGGTGAGGAGGAAGAGGGCGCCGCCACAACAGCGGCAGATGCAGCCCAAGGCAGCGGCAGGGGTAGCGGCAGCGGCGGCGGCGGAGCGGCCGGGGAGCGGGCGGGGAAGCTGCAGGCGAGCATGTACATATTAGCCATCCACGGGGCCGTCTTTGCAATCATCGCGGTTGCATCTGGCTGCCAGGGCAGCGGCGCGGCGCAGGTGGTGTGCGCTTACCTGCGGTCGCGGCGGCAGGCGAACAGCCGGTTCGAGGTGTGAATGGATAGCAGGTGTTTGCTTCGTGACCGGTGCTTGATGCCACGCTGTTAAGTCTCGGGGTACTGCTGCATATTGTAAAAGTGTCCACTTTTATCCGGGCCAGCCCGCCTTCTGTTTTGGTCATGTTGCTACCAGGAGGACTGTCCTTTTTGACTGGCATTGAGGGGTGGGGGGCTGCGATTCTCTGGTGAAGTTGTCCTCTTGTCGCAGGCGGTGCTGCGCTTGGCATCAAACACTAGCGAGACGACAGCTGAACCCCACTCGGTGGTTTCAGCCAGGCTGCCGCTGGAGCCTGGGGAGTTCCAGGCCCAGAGCGCAGGCCATGCCCTCACCCTTTTGGTCAGCTGCCTGGTGCCTACAGGCTCAAGGGGCCAGGGCAGGAGCCAGGCACAACTCCTGCATGCCGCTGCACGAGCCCCGCCTGCTGCCGGGCGGCGCGTGCCACGAAGAATTGCCGCGGCAGCACCGCGAGCGCAGGCTGACGCGGCGCCTCGCGCGGCGCGCACGCACAGCAACGTGCAGCCGCCCGGCGCGCGACAGAGCGGTTGGCGGCCCAGTCTTGAAACCTGAACCCATCGAAAGTCGTCGATGTGTAACGACAAAGGGATCCCTGATTCAAACCCCATGCAGATGTCCAGCCTGTACAGTGTGCCCTTGCCGATTGTGTACTCATGGTTACATAATGACTCTGCGGCATCGGACAGCCGCTGCCTGCACAGGTACGAAATCCTGCTCAACAAGACATCGTGTTCAGGGTGTTTGTGCGGGTGTGCCTGTGCGTGCATGACTGTTGCTGATAAGTTGGAAGCCCAAAACACGATGAATTGGATATGATGCAAAGCACGCTATAAACATGAAAGCACACACTGGAAACCCTGCCCCTGCTGCTATTGCTGCTGCGCTACTGCTGCTGCTGCTGTTGCTGCTACTGCTGCTGCTCCCGTCTGGCTTGCACAACCACAAACGTGCATGCCGACTCCTGCAGGGCCCCGCTCAGACCTCCATTCAATCCTCCTCTATCTCGTCGGCCTCCCCATCACCCCCAATTC